TATATATATATATATACACACACACACACACACACACACACACATACAGAGAGACTAGGGGCCCAGTGCATGAATTCATGCACCTTAAAAGTAACTGTGGGCTGCAAGGCTGCAGTGGGCACAGGGATGCGTCTCAGCCCATCCTCCATGCCCCCGCCTGGCTCTTCCTGCCGTGGCCCAGGGTCCCCTGTCTACCGGCAGCCCCACTCCCAATGCCACCACTCCCACGTGCTGATGGTGCCAGCCCTGCTTGCACCTGCTTAAGGCTCGGAGCAATTGGGGCCGGTGCCAGCAGTGGGTGTGAGCAGGGCTGGCTCCATCAGCAGTTGCGATTAGCGGCTGCTGCCCTGATGGCCCCTCAGGATCAGGGGGAGGTGGAGAAGTCCTCAGGGGTGATCAGGGCTGGCAGCCCCCGCTTGCATCCACTGACGGCGTTGAGTGATCGGGACCGGCGCTGGGCGCCAGCAGTGGGTGCGGGCGGTGGCTCTGGTGCCAGCAGTGGGTGTGAGCAGTGGCTCCAGCACTGGCAGTGGGTGCAAGTAGGGCCGGCGCCAGCAGCAGGTGCGAGCGCCGGGCCAGACCATGGTGTGCGGGAGCAAAGAATTTTCAGTAACCTCCAGAGGCTTGCCTCGATGACAGAAACCGGTGCCCTGCCTTGGTCTGGCACCCCTGCTCACCTGCTCCACCATCCCACTATGGCCGATGCCCACCATGTTCCGAGGACACCCTCTGGTGGTCAGCACACGTCATAGCAACCAGTTGTTCGGTTGTTCCGCTGTTTGGTCTATTTGCCAATTAGCCTTTTATTATATAGGGTGATTACCAGGCTGGGATATTTTAGGGAGATCAGGACATAACTGTAGGCTACCTACAGGATTTTGGGGGTGTCCTATACCAAGTGAGGTTCCAATAGATAAATAATCTCACACCAAGGGTTTTACATTTGTCTTAAACATGAATGAAAATAATTTATGAAAATAATGTTTTACATTAAAGTAAAACACATGCTTCAGAGACTGCATTTCCCCCCCAGTTTTGATGATGAATTGATCTCATAATCATTTTCTGTCTGATTCCACTGGTGACCAACAGTTTACCTAATGAGACAGCTGCCAGAAATCTGGGGTAAAGCAGCCAGCTGACTAATAAAGAAAACTGAGAGATGACTTGTGAGCTCACTTGAAAAAATGTACTTTGAAATATACAAAAATAGCATCCATTAGGAGCTTAATTTATAAGTAACCATTAACAAAGATAAATTAATTGAGTGTATACACAATGTGGTGAACAGCTCTTTGACTTGAGATATTTTACTCATCTGTGTCTGGTTTTAAAAGACTCAAAAGAACTGAGTTGAAAAGGCTATGCAACTCATATCAATGTTCTTTAAAACACAAGGCCATTAAAGAGATAACCATCATGTTTTAGATCATCTAGTTGAATTACCAAACACACAAAATCAAACAAAACCCTACAATCATGGCCCACAATTAAAGGAAATCCATTTTGTGCACTGTTCAAGTTGAGTAAGAATTCTTTACTTTCCTGCCCCAAATAAATTACCTTTATTAAAACTGGAAAATTGTATTTTCTTTTTTTTTTTTTTCATATGAAGGGCATGGTAAAAAGCATATAACTCCCCTAAACTCTTGAATAATACAAAACAAAACTTGGAAATTTTGCTTGTTATATATTGTTCACAGGGTGATAAATTTGCCTATAGCTATTTTACCTTCTCAACCCTCATCCTTTGAACTTGGATGGTGCTAGGACATATGAGTCTATGTAGATAGATTAAGGCAGTGGTTCTCAACCTTCCTAATGCTGCGACCCTTTAATACAGTTCCTCATGTTGTGGTGACCCCACATAAAAACAGAAAATTATTTTCGTTGCTACTTCATAACTGTAATTTTGCTACTGTTATGAATCGTAATGTAAATATCTGATATGCAGGATGTATTTTCATTGTTATAAATTGAACATAATTAAAGCATAGTGATTAATCACAAAAAAATATGTAATTATATATGTGTTTTCTGATGGTCTTAGGCGATCCCTGTGAAAGGATCGTTTGACCCCCAAAGGGTCGTGACCCACAGGTTGAGAACCGCTGGATTAAGGTGTTATCTTATCAAACTCATCAAGGCAGACCTTAAACACAATAAATTGCTCACATTTCTCACTCCTAAGAGAGGGCAAAGGTGAAGATAGGGCTCTGAAAATTCTTGTTGTGACAAGATGGCCAAACCAGGCACATCTGTATGTCTTTTAAAAGGCTCTTATTACTGAAGCCTGAATATCTGCATACAATATATGATCTCTCTGTTTCTTCACATTCCTGGCAAAATATATAATCATATAAATTAGATTTCTGAGTTATGGGAGAGAGCTGTGAAATGCAGTAAGGGGGAACCTTCTGTCTAATAATGATACTTCCCGTCTTCTCACCTGTCTACTCCTCACAGATACATACCAGAAGTGGGACAGAAAAAATCATGTAGTGAATATGATCCATTAAACACCAAGTTGGGCTACATATCAGAGCAAAATTCACTTCTGTGTGTGTGTTCAGACTCATTCTGCCAAATATAGATCAAGTGTTTTATGTTATAGCTTAATAAAGGGTAATGATAATAATCCTATCTAATAAAAGAGAAACATGGTAATTAGCCATACCTCCGCTACCCTTCCCATTGGCTAATCAGGGATATATGCAAATTAACTGCCAACCAAGATGGCGGCCAGCAGCCAGGCAGCTGACTCGAACAGGGAGGCTTGCTTGCTTCAGTGATGGAGGAAGCCAAGCTTCCCCACCTACCTTGCCGGCCTCTGAGCTGCAACTCTAAGAAACATTGTAACAAATATAGAAGCTAAACCAAACCCCAGAAACATGCTTTCAGCCAGCCGAGATCTCAGAGCTGGAGTTGAAACAGTGTTTCGATTATAGAACACAAACAAACCAGATACCTGCTTTCAGCAGCCGAGGCCTCAGAGCTGGAGCCAAGCCTCAGAGCTAAAGCTGGCCCAGAATTTAAAAAAAAAAGAAAAAAAGGAGCGGTTGGGAGATTCAGTCACCCGCCAGCCTGAAAACAGCCCTCAGCCCCTCACCCAGACTGGCCAGGCACCCCAGTGGGGACCCCCACCCTGAAGGGGGTGTGACCAGCTGCAAACAGCCATCAGCCCCTCACCCAGGCTGGCCAGGCACCCAAGCGGGACCCCCACCTTGATCCAGTACACCCTTCAGGGCAAACCAGCCGGCCCCACCCATGCACCAGGCCTCTATCCTATATAGTAAAAGAGTAATATGCCTCCCAGCACCGGGATCAGCGGAGCTGCGAGGCCTCCCGGCACCGGGATCAGCATGACAGGGGGCAGCGCCCAAACCCCCTGATCACCCTGCGGCTCTGTGTGTGACAGGGGGCGGGGGCCACAACCTCCCTATCCGCCCTGCTCTGTTCATGACAGGGGAAGGCGCCCCAACCCCCTGATCGCCCTGCGGCTCTGTGTGTGACAGGGTGTGGCGCACCAACCATCCTCCCCCCCCCCCCCCATGGGCC